GATTAGTTTTGGGGTAAATATTTGTGCATATTAATTACCTTATTAGCATAATTAGTCAATTTTCAGCTTTTTGCCTGATAACTCAAGTTCTGATCATCATATTTCAATGAGACTTGCTACATAGATCCTCTAGGACTATGCAGAGACCTGATTAGTTTTAGGGTAAAGAATTGTGGATATTAATTACCTAATTCACATAATTAGTTAATTTTTTCCATGAATGTTCCTCTGATATATAAAGAACCACTACTTGGATTTTAATGAAACTTTTACAGAGTATTCATCACATTTCAATGAACCTAGGACTATGCAGAGACCCAATTAGTTTTTGGTAAATATTTATGCTTATTAATCACCTAAGTAAAATAATTAATTAACACTGATATTTAAATTACTGATCATCACATTTGAATAAAATTTGGTACATAAATGCTCTAGAACAATAGACAGGCCTGATTAATTTTGGGTTGAAATTTGTTCATATTAATTCTCTAATTCATAGTTTTTTTGTTCTAATCACATTTCAATGAAACATGGTACATAGATATTGCATTATGCAGGCCTTATTAGTTTTACACTCAAATCTGTTCATATCAGTTACCTGATTTACATAATTTTCAGCTATTCCATCAATATCTCAAGTACAAGTAATTTCAAATTATATTCAATGTGTCTCCATTACTCTCAGCAAACAGGAGTTCTTTCTAAGCTTTCTTTGATTAAATCTTTTAATCGTTGACCTGATCGGGTGTGTTCTTTGTCTTGTCAAGTTTCTTACATTTCCAGGTTCTTGTTCAATAACCATCAATCTTTTATTTTTATATTTATGACAGTAATTTTGTTGGAAAATGTGTGAATATTAAATTACAATTGAAATTTCCATGTGTTGTCATTTTTTACTTTGCCAACACCATAGATGAAGGAAAAGGTACGAGAAGAAAATGTCCACCATTGTCCTTTTTTTAAGCTCCGCTGTCGACTTTGTCGAGCGGAGCTTATCATATGAGTGATTGTCTTTCGTCGTCGTCCGTGTCAATGTTTTACTTTTTCGACTTCTTTTTGAAAACTACAAGCCTGAATGCTTTGATACTTAGTGTATATGTACCTTGGGCAGACCTCATTTAGATTTGGTCATTTCATGATGATATCTTCAATTCTCTAATTTTGGTGAATATTTTTGTCATTTTTGGTAAAAAGTGATATTTTCGACTTGTTAAAAACCGCAAGTCTAATTGCTTTGATATTACATATATAGGTACTACATGTGGACCTTTCTCAGATTTGTTCATTTTGCAATGATATCTTCAATTCTCTAATTTTGATGAATATTTTTTGTAAAAAGTGATATTTTCGACTTCTTGTTGAAAAGCGCAAGTCTGATTGCTTTTATAATACATATATACAGGTAGGTACTACATGTGACCTTTTTCAGATTTGTTAATTTCGTGGTGATATCTTCAATTATCTAATTTTGATGATTATTTTGGTGAAAAGTGATATTTTCGACATCTTGTTGAAAACAATATATATTACATATATAGGTACTACATGTGGACCTCTCTCAGATTCGTCCAGTTTCCCTTTATATACATATTGTTAATTTTCTATTGACATCTTCAGTTCTTTTATTGTAATGTGCATTGCTAACAGCGAAGCTATCACAGCCGACAGGCTGCTTGTTTGTGGTTACAATAACTGTTTTATCCAATATGTAATGCAATAAGCATGATATCAAGATTGTTCAACACCACTGGACCTACATGTATCAAAATAGTGATTTAAAGCTTTTATAAATTGACCAGTGGTCAGCTATATTGAATTAAATTGCAGGAATGTACTGTAAAATTCTTTAGTTTACAGTATTATATTACATGTGTGCTGAAACTGAACTGATTATTCCATTCCAGGGTAACTGGCAAGGACACCATAAAAAAAACATAGCACAACTTTTACAGCCTTGCCCATTGAATTCAAGATGGATGCAAAATGTATGTAATTACCATGTGACTGCAGACTCTTAACATTGGTAGCCCAGTAGGTTTTCACACCAGCCCTGCTGGTGATCATTTGACTGAGAATATAAATTAAATAAACCATTTTCCATCACTGCGTGATCCTGTGTTATGCTTGAAATCAAACATAGAAACAAAACATTGTGTGGGATTCAACAAACCAAAAAGTATTTTAGGGGAATTTGAAGACTGTCAATTTTGATGAAGCAAGGGTATATTAATGCAATGTTCCCCTCTCAAAGATATACATTGAGCTATAAAAAAAGACAATCAATTGATTTCCACGGCAGACGTTTGATCCATGCCATTTACACAATATGCAAGATCCAGCTGTGAACAGTAAACCATCTACACATGTACTAATCTAAAATACAGGCTGGTGATTTATACCAATTATGGTAAACGCATCAGTTACTGCATTATTCAAGTAATAGAGTATACTACTAACTGGTTATCAAAAATGTAAATGTCTTAGTTTTTTTTTTTTGTCATTTTGAAAATTAGACATGGTAGTCACAACAAAAATTTTATAGTGATTGATCAGGTTTCCAAATTTGAAGATGATCAGATAAAAATGGTTTGATGCGTAATTACAAGAAGACAATTTTACCTTTGTATACCTTTCCCTTAACAGTATAGGCAACCACAAATTTTGTGCACAAAAATGACCAACAGTCTCACTTTTTCTTGAATCATTTAAATAACTTGTGTATATGCCATAAAATTGATCAATGCACATCAGAGGAATGGACAAACTAGTCTAGTTGATTCTGAAAAAGGTGTAGTTGCACTATGTTTCACATTTAGGATTTGACTGGTGTTACAGTAGATAGGAGTACGACAGTATTCAAATGTTTTCAGAATTAGGTACCAGGGCATGCAAATTTTACCAGCCTTGAAGATCATTTAAAAATGGATCCATTCTCACTCCAAGTAAGCACCAGAAAAACACATTTTGCTGGCATACAAAATGATTGTATGTATCCTTTGTGTCTGCCACCAGAGAATGACATTCAATTTTATTCATTAATATTAAATTTCACCAGATCACAAGTTTTAATTTTTAGCATTCCAACTGTACTAGCTGGCAGTAATTTAAACATTGAGTTTGGTAAGCACCAAGTCTTGCAGGTTTCAATTATTTAAGAGATCTGTGTACTAAGATTGTAAGCTTTTATAGAAACCATGTAATTTTTCCCAAGATATTGCAAGATGATAATGATCACGAAACAATTTAGTACTTGAAAATGTAATATATTTATTGTCAAATAATCTGTTAAACAAATTACACTTTTCAACAACAAAAATGAAAAATGTTCATGATAAAAATGTTGATTAAATCACAGCAAACAACAAAAAATGTGCTACCTTCTGTAATGAAAGTAAATGTAAAGTATGCAGCACAAAAACCAGATGCAGTATTTAAACGGAATCCAATCAGAAAATATAATCCTCACTACAGCTTGGCATACTTCTATTTCTAAAAAGTATCCCGGGAAATTAGACTCCATTTTCAACATGGTTCACACTTAATGTAGAATGCTACTCATAAAGGCAAATACCCGGAATTTATTCATTTTGCAATAAATTGTACTCTAATTTTTGAGAAAATAATGTTGTTTAGTGGATAGTGGCTATTTTGTCAGTATTAATCTTTTACCATAGGTATAATAGCAGAGATATGCTGCATCTCAAATTGTAAGCTGTGGACACAGGCTGAAAAAATCATACTGTTTGTTGTCCTGAATCATTTCAAAAATATTCGGACAGGTTTCTCAAAATAATGTAAAATACTTTATTTTAGCTGAAATTAATTTTCACTGAAAAGACTTTTTGGGTGGAATTTATTTTTACTGAATTTTGACAAGTTTAATGTAAAAGATAAGAAAAAATATATTTGCTAGATTTTATTTTCACTGAATCATTACTTGCTAATTTATGGTGCCACGAGACAATCTGTTTATTATTAAATTGACTGCTTACCCTCTATAACGCTTTTTTATGAAAGGAGTATGTAACCTAGTTTGTTAGTGAAATTGGTCACTTTGAGAAAAGATTCCTTTTAATTACATGTATTATGTATTCAATAGCACCTGATTCAAGGTGGTTTGGGGAAGAAAACAGTTCTTAGTGTCAAATTTGCTTAGAGGGAAAAAAAATAGCAACATGCTTTTTTTTTAAAACAGTTTAAAACTTATGAAAGTATTTGAATGCAAATTACAAAGAAATATAGATTATGCAGAAAAAACAATAAAACAAATTGAATACTGTAAAAGTTTTTTTCACTGGAATTTAATTTCACTATTTTTACTGAGTCACATTTCTAAATGGATTAAATTAGTAAATTTTAGTTATCAGTGAAAATAAAAACATGTGAATACTTAATGCATTTACAGTAACGACACCAGAAAAACAACAAAAACATGTGAATACTTAATGCATTTACAGTAACGACACCAGAAAAAAAACATACATTACCCTCGAATGACAGATTCTAATACTATATTTTACACCAAATGGTATTTCAGACCGCACAGGCGAGAAGAATTTGTCAAAGATTTATGAAAGCTTCATGGTATGAAAAAGAATAACAGAATATTATATACAATGCTATTTATTGTGCTACGGTTATGTGGTGCTGTAAAGAACACCATCACTGGCGTATCAACAATTATGCTTTTCCAACATGAGCCATGATAGTGTTTTGGACAAATTATAAGTCAACATCTTCCAGTGTCAATTTACCCTGCAACTTTCCGAGTATCTCAACTTTAGAAAACATTGTCACTGATACAATCAGAGTGGTAAGTTCATGGCGCAATGAAGGAGCAATTAAAATCCCCTGTATATTTGTATATGTATTTTTTATGCTAAATGTGGACACTCAATCAAGTATGAAAAGTCTTGTATTACCTGTTAGATAACAGTCTTACAGAAATACTAAGAACCATCTTTTTATTATGACAATAATACAGGATGGAAATTTCATTTGAGAGAAAAGCATTTTTTTGACACACTGTCTGCATAGAGACGAATGCTATTGATAATTTATTGAGAACTTAATGTGTTCAACCCTGTGTTAACATTTTTGTCAACTTTCACAAAATACATGTTCAAATTTTTTCATTTCCATTTGCAAACTGGTCAAAAGTTGATCTGATAGAAATAATACAATGTACACAAAAAAAGCAAAATATTACTAAAACGTTTGGTTCAAAAAATGATGGCATTCAAATGCTAGAGCTTATTAACCGCTGTGACTTCTGAAAGCGCACCTCTACCCACAAACTTTAAGACATGCACACACACAAATAAACATTACTGGTAAATCCATACATGTAATGTAAATAGTCTTCATACTTTATATCAAGGCACAAACACATAGACCTCAATTGTGGAATGCTCCATTTATGAATAGGGGTGACAACTACCATTCTAATTCCACTGGATAGTTCCCAGTCAAACAGGCAGTGCAATGTCCAATTTTGTTTTCATTTTTTTCTGAGACTCCTGCTCTGACAGCAGATACTAGTCCATCAACAGAAAGATACACAACACTAGATGCACCAAGATATTCTGCTAACTGATCAGCTGCTAATCTGTTTGCTATGAGTTCTTCTTTAGTTGGAATATTGATACCCATGTAACAAGGGTATTTGATGGGTGGTGATGCTACACGTACATGAACCTGTAATGATAATACAATAATTAAGTCATTGAAAGCCAGTACTCAGTCAGGGCATAATGTAAATGCATTACAAAAGTTATGAGAATGATTTTGACGGTTAGCAAGATGGCTTGTGTAACTCTTTGCTTTTGCTTTGTTATAGGACTTTACAGCGCCTGCGTTTGACTGATAGCGTGCTGTGTTGGATTCACTATTTGATGATGATTTGTTAATCTTGTGTACTTATTCAATAACTATACTTCATTTCTTCCCTCAAACATTTCATTCTGCTGTGCA